GATGGTAACTCCTGATAGTAATGTATTTAATTTCTCGTCATTTATTAATTGTAAAATGTCTAGGAATTATACGGGTCGTATTGTTATCTCTTGCTGCATTTCTCGCCAATTCCAAAACTTCTTCTTCTTCTTCACTGGCTTAACAACTCGGGGTGAGTCTTCGCCGCATCCACTATCGCTCTCTCTGTACTAAAAACACTGTCTTTAACACTCTGTCATCCCTGATCGTACCACGTGACCTGCCCATCTTATTCGGTTTGCCTTGATGTCTAACTATGTTTTCAGTTCCATACAGAGTCACCAATTCAGCATTGCGGCGTCTTCTCCAATCCCCTGGAAATTCATCTCTTTGAGGGCCAAATATTATTCTGAGAACCTTTCTTTCAAATATTAGAAGCTTATTGATTTCCCGCTGGTTGAGATTCCATGTTTCACTGCCATACGTAATAATTAATTTACAGTGTTAATTTAGATTTTCATTTTAGCAGCTTCGATCTTAATAATGTTGAAATTATATAATGCTCTATTTCCTGCAGCTATCCTTGCTGAGACCTCTTTTTTTATGTGGTTGTCAGCTGTGATTATCGCCCCCAGGTATTTAAACTCCTTTACTACTTCGAAGTTGTGATCATTAATACTGATGTTCTGTCTAAATCTTGGTCTTGGATTTTTGGTTACTACCATGTATTTCGTCTTTTCTGCATTATACGGAGACCCAGACTACCTGTTTCCTCCTCGAGCTGTGAAAATACCTCTCTCACGCCTCTTGTAGAATGTGTGACTGCATCTATATCATCAAAGGCCAGCAGCAGTTTTGATCCTTGATCAGCAAATCCTCCTGTCAGCTCAGACGATATTTCCAAAACTTCAGCAGCTAGATATTTCATTACAGCTGTCAAGTATACAAGGAGTATTAACATGAATCTCTTGGGACAAACAAAGCAAAATACAGGAAGGAAACAACTCTAACAATTTTAAAACGACGCAGCTTCGACGTGCGAAATTATAACGATTACAACAGCTAGTTGTAACTATTAAAATAATTATTAAAAATAAAAAATATATCTTTTTAAATGAGACTAAAGGGTTAGAGTGATAGTTAAGGGAAATAAACAAAAAGGTTAGAAAAAAAATTAAACATTTATTGTGTCTCACCACAAACAGTTACAAAAATAAATTGGACAAATTACTAGATTAATAGTTACAAAGATTTATATTAAAAATAACAAAGAAAACTTACATGTCATCCGTTTACAAACTCTAGGAGTTGGAGATACTACAAAAACTTACAAATAATTGTTACTGCATGGAGGTTAACCTTCTTGAAAAACAAACTAATAAAAAAAATAATAAAGCAAGCTGTCATATGTTAAATTTAAATATTAAATCTGAGAACAAATAAATTGACAGGTAAAGTCAAACCCTAAAATTTACAATTTTAAATATTATTGTTAAATAAAAAGCAATTATTGTTATTAAAAAATGTCTACTTTGCTTTGAAATTTTAACACAAAAAAAGTTACCTTGATTTTCACTAAAGTTTCACTTGAGTTGTAAGCTGGACTTCTTAAAAACTCAACAATGGCTAAGAATCTCTGACACACAAACAAAAAGGAAGTTGGGGCACTGGAACACAAACCTTGGAAACTAAACTGGCTTCTTAAAAACAGGAATAGGTACAACTGGATACAATGACATCATTTTAAAACTCACTTAAAACTGTAACTAAACCATTAAACTGCTACTATACTTTATACTGCTACACATTTTCCATGAAAGGAGGCAAAAACAGAAAACTTTACAAATTCGACGTGAAATTTGGACAAACGCTAGAAGCAGATGTTAACGCTAACAAAGCCTCAGCGAGACTGATGAAATTATCTTTAAAATTAATTCGCATAATTTGGTAAAAACAAAAAACTTAACGGGAATATTTATTTGAAACGTAGAATATGAAACGCAAAAATTTAATAACAAAACAGCTTTTAGTTAAATGTGATAAATACGGATACATGGGGTCTTTAATTAAGCTTTTTCCATCATTGTAAAATTTTTCCATCATTTCAAATAAAACAAAGTGTGTGTAACATATTGACATCTTTTATTCATTTGAAAGGACTCCTGTTGATATCATTTATGGAATGTTGTTCAAATTTTCCATGAGTCTAGCGCATAAATCGGGACAAATTTGGCCTATCAAATGGGCTATGTTGGCTTTGAGGGCGGGCTGCTGTGGTTTGTGCCTTATTCTCATAGAGCCGCGAATTAAAAAAACTCCACAAGAAAGAATCTAACAGGGTCAAATCGCACAATATCGGTAGTTGTAGCGCTCGCCGTGGACGGTAATGGCCTGCTCAACGTCTTTCTTAGAAAATATGTACCGATGACGTTGGCAGCCCAAATTCCATACCGAACAGTAACTTTTTCGGGATGCATTAGACGCTCTAGGATCTCATCTGAATTATTAACATCGCAAATTCGACAGTTCTGTTGATTGATGTACCCATTCATTAAAAGACGGGCCTCATCGCTGAATATAATTTTTCGATTAAAATTAGGGTCATTTCAACTGCTCCAGAGCCCATTCAGCAAACGCACGTCGTTGTCTGTGATCGTTTAAGTTTAGCTTCTTAGCCAGTAGGATTTTTACGGGTGCGTGTCTAAGTCATGACGCAAAATTTGCCCAGTTGTGCCAAGCTGTGGAAGGTTGAGTAGTGTGAGCGACGTGAAATCGACTGCCTTGGATTCTTCTGCACGCTCTTATAGATAGCGGCCATGTTTTCGGCAGATCGTGTGCTTTATCAACGTACGGTTATTGAAATAGGTAAAGAAATAATAAATAAGACTTACTCACAATCAATTTTTATTTTTACTTTACTTTATAAGTATAAATAGCCTTTAATAACACAATAGTATATTACATCACTTACATTTAACAAACAATCTCACACATATCTCAAATTCATTGGATCAAATCTATCTCCTCATGAACTTCCCGTTTACTGTGAAACAACTGCAATAATAGTATTGAGTTCTCCATTCAACAATATAAAGTAGTTTCAAACATGTTCTACCATCCATCTATTAATAGAGTACCGGCATGTAAGTAATGTTTATTTTATTTATTTATTTGCTCATTTATTAATTTATTACAATCGAAGAGACTATTTTATAACAATTTGTGGGCCTTACCTTGTCTGTTTAACCTTTTTAAAAAAATTTTATACCTTTTATTCAACTTACTCATTTAAATAAAACCACAGACATGTAATATTGGCATAATTATTGTAATTTACAACACCTACTTTGTTTATCGTTATTAGACAACACCCTAATATGGGTTTTTATTATTTCAGCATTTGTTTAACTTTGTATCGAGACCTGAGGATGCTTTGCATATTGTAGAAAGCGAAACCGGTCGTCTGATAGTTAAATTAAATTGATTGTGAGTAAGTCTTATTTATTATTTCTTTACCTATTTGAAATGGACTCACACAAGCAACAAATTCATGATTTGTACGGTTATTGTTTGATTGTTTACGGAACCAGTGGACTCAATTTATCCACCATACTGCGAATAGTTTTCTCGGTAAGACGATTAAGGCGACCGTAAAATAGGCGAAGCGCGCAGAACGTTGTCCGAAAAGGGCACCTTTTTTGACAAAACAGTTTTATCATTTGTACGTGTTGTACGTTATATCGAGTCATGGTGACTTGGTAAAACAGACTGAACAAATGACAACCAATTTGAAAAATGTAGCTTCAGCAATATGACAGCTACCGACTGTCAAAATTCGGAAGTCCCTATTGGAAGACCCTGTGTAAGGTGATTTCAAATTTTACCGACCTGCAAGTAAAATATTTTTGAACCATTTTTCAAATAAATATCTAACCAACAGCCTGTTAGCCTTGAGAGTATTAGGGACATATCAATCTTCATTTCGAATATGGTTGCTCTTTTCTTTTCCTTGATAGGTCTTTTGTCTATCCATATTATCACTATAATTCTGTTGGCCCTTAGCACAACTGATTTGCCTTTACTTTAGTACTTTAATAACTTCCTTATTTGTTAGTTTGATAACCATTTCTGTTGTTACTCTTTCTGCTGCATTGGTTTTCTGCCAAACTCTTCACGTAATGATACTAACACATTACTTGCTGAACATTTTTATGTTCTTTTTTATGTTAGTTTTATGTGAAAACTAAGGGTAGTAGGTCTACTGAAAATGTCATTTTAATAAAACAACTGCACCAATACTCTATTGTCGTTATCTTACAGTTAATTAGTGTGGAAATTGATAACTTTCAATTAAAGATTATTCATTATGATTAGAAACGCACTAAATTAATTGCTATATCTACATTTTTAACAGAATAATATATCTTGATATTATCAGTGTTTGATACTGATTTTTTGTTTCTGTAATATTTCAATTCAGTTTTTTTCCTAAAGGCAAGAACTTTTTAGTTTATGATTTTCTGTATAAATTACAAATTGTGTATATATTATAAATAAATAAATGTTGTTCTGAAGCTATTTTCTTGTGGCATCTTTATGCAATTAAATATTTTTGTTAGGAATAAGCCATAATTTTAAAATAAGTTTATTTGACGTTTCGATTTCCAATTCGGAAATTGTTATCATTTGAGAAATATCAAATACACTTATTTTAAAGTAACTTACCTGACTTCACCTGACCAACTAGTTCTCCCAACTTCTGTAGAATTCATTCATGTACTAAATATGGATCTTTTGTATCAGTAATTGTGGGTTGTATGTCTGTGTTCACTGCTATATTTCAGTTATAATTATTCTCTTTTGACGAAAAAATACTTCTATTCAGGTATCTGACATATGACATCATCAAAATGTCAAACAATGCCTGTATATGATCATCATCTGCCATCCTTTTAAATGCGGAAATGATCTTTCAATAAAAATCAAGTTCATTTTAATACTATCTTAGTGGTCTTTTCTTATTCCATATTTTTTATTGCAGGTTCTATCTCAACACAAGATGGCACCATCGACCAACTCACACAACTTCAGCCCTCAACTATCACCACCTCGAAGAAAAGCTCTACCAAGAGCTTCTTCCGTTCACTACTATGTTGCCTGCGCCCGAAGAAATCAAAAACCCCCATTTCGGATCAATGTCTGGACGGGACCCAGTGCGTCGACCATAGCAGATGCAGTTATCTCCTCAGCCCTCCGCGACAAGAGGATATACACAAGAAGTGTATGGTTATAGATCTGGATGAGACATTGGTACATAGCAGCTTTAAAGTAAGTATTGTTACAATGTAAATTAGTTTAGACTATGTTTTTTAAATACAAACAAATTTCACATAGTTCACACGTTTCCAGACTAATAGATGATCTAGAGTCTGAATTCTTCACAGTCACAACGGTCGTCCGCAGAATGGATCCAATTGATTCTGTTTCTCCTATAAGTGCGGCCAGCGTTGACCGCACCTCCGTCCAGGCTTTCTACATTCATTCTTCTTTTCAATTATGAGATAGATGGCACAGAGGTAGCCGTCGTTGTGTATAGATATAATCGTATAATAAAACGGAAGGAAAAAAACGGGCAAATCCCCTTTTTAAACTGTCCTATACGTACAGAAGAAACATCTGAAGAAATGGAAATAAAGAGAGGAGTCAGGCAAGGCTGCATTCTATCACCTCTATTATTTAACGCCTATTCTGAAGAGGTAATTCGAGAAACTCTGGAAGATGAAACAGTCGGCATAAGAGTAAATGGAGTCTTAATTAACAACATCAGATATGCAGATGATACAGTAATAATAGCCGATAGTTTACAAGACCTGGAAAGACTCATGAGCAAAATAGTCATGTGTAGTAGGGAGTACGGACTCTCTCTTAATGTCAAAAAGACGAAGTTTATGAAAATTTGTAAAAACAACTATAATACTAACGAAATCTTGATAGTAGAGGGTCAGCAGATCGAAAGAGTAAAAAAGTACACTTACCTAGGAACACTTATATCAGAAAATAATGACTACACGGCAGAAATCAAAGTCAGAATCGAAAAAGCACGTTCTAATTTTATAAAAATGAAAAAGGTCCTATGTGGCAAAGATCTAACATTAGCTCTTAAAGTACGCCTAACAAAATGTTACGTATACAGTGTACTATAATATGGAGTGGAATCATGGACGTTAAATCTAGATACCATGAGACGACTTAACGCCTTTGAAATGTGGACCTATAGAAGAATTATGAGGGTTTCCTGGGTAGATAGAGTTACAAACAATGAAATACTGAGAAGAATAGGCAAAGAGAAGGAAATTGAACTTACAATAAAAGAAAGAAAGCTACAGTATCTCGGACATGTGATGCGGGGCGATACGTATGGCATCCTGCGACTCATAATGCAAGGAAAAATAGATGGCAGAAGAAGCATCGGAAGAAGACGAATTTCATGGCTGAAGAACCTGAGAGAATAATTTGGATGCAGCTCAAAACAACTATTTAGAGCTACTGCCTCAAAAATTAAGATAGCTATGATGATTGCCAACCTCCGTAGCGGAGATGGCACCTGAAGAAGAAGATACGTACAGATCTCTGGCTGCCCGTCGTGAGCGATGTTCTCTAAACCAGTTTGTCCAAAAGTTGTCCACTAGCTAGTATTTTCCACATGTTTTGTAGTCAAAATTTTACCTTATATTTTTTGTGAAAATATACTTCCAGGTTTTTTCACTGATGATAGATAGTCCGACCGGATCGGAAACGTTTTGAAAATTTGTAATCCTCTTGGAAAAATTTTTAATTTATTTTTAATAAAAAATATCATTATGTACACAAGAAGTTCTTACTTCTATGTCAGTTTTTTCTTATTATACACTTTCTTTCAGCCTATCAGCAATGCAGACTTCGTCGTACCAGTAGAAATAGACGGCACGTTACATCAAGTGTATGTCTTAAAGAGGCCACACGTAGACGAATTCCTCCAGAGGATGGGAGAATTGTATGAATGCGTCCTCTTCACTGCATCACTGGCGAAGTACGCCGATCCCGTCGCTGACCTTCTAGACAAATGGGACGTGTTCAAGGCGAGATTATTTAGAGACAGCTGCGTCTTCTATAGAGGAAATTATGTTAAAGACTTGAACAAGCTGGGACGAGAGTTGCAGCAAATTGTTATTGTTGATAATTCACCTGCTTCCTACATATTCCATCCAGATAATGCTGTAAGTGTTTTATTTACATTCATATTCATACATATTGATACAGTAGAGACATAATATTCTACTCACCTAGGTTCTCTTCTATTCCTTGTTTTTAGGTAGGTATCATCTGTTATTTGGAAAACGTTTCTTAACAAATAAAGCTTCGTTCAAACTAGAAAATAAAAATTAGTACTCTCAAAAATTAATTGGTTACCACTACCTTTAGATTAAACAGCTGAACTTAAAATCTCATGAACCAATTATGCAAGAACAGTGATATGTATTATGGTTGTTACATTATAAATGTTACATAGGTACAGATGTAACATATATATCACCACAGTGTTTACAGTAAACAACTTTAGTATTTCACCAATTAAAGAAGCAAACTTCTATTTAACCTCTCGTGCAAAATTAGATCACGGGTCTTGTGGGTGTGCGATATGTTCAACAGGTGATGGAAATAAAAGTCATTCGTAAATTTAGCCAGAAAAGCCTTAAAATTTTAAAGTCAAAGTGGATGGCGGTTGGAACGATTAATATAGATCAAGGTTTACTTTCGCTTACTGGAGAGGAGATAGAACGCGTAAACCATTTAAAATACCTCGGCAGCTGGTTACATGTAAATTGTGGCCCTGAGAAAAAGATAATAACTAGAATCGAAATATCGCGTTATGACCGGTTAAGGCTTTTATGAGCTGGAAACCAGTTTTATGTCTGTCGATATATATTTTCAAGAAGGCCCTGAAATGTTATGTGTGGTCTATCTCATTATATGGTTGTGAGACAGGGACATTAATAACCACGATACTTAACAAACTAGAAGCATTCGAATGTGGTGCTATCGACAGATCCTAAAAATATCATGGGTTTCTAACACTTCCAATGCAGGTGCTCTTAAAATGATGAATTCAGAACGCTTGTTCACAAACATCATAAAGAGAAGAAAAACATAATGCTTCGGCCATATAATTAGAAGACCTAACTTCCATCTACTTCACCTTATAATATAAGGAAAAGTGGAGGGAAAGAGATGAATTGGTCGAAAGAAGCTTTCATAGTTGCGTAATATTAGGTTGCAGTAGAAGAATTATTTCGCACAGCAGCCGATAGAGAACAGTTTCAGAAAATTGTAAACATGATGATAGCCAACATATGGTAAATTTTCATAAGAAACCCTAATCATAAGAAAAATATTTTCAAAAACATGATTTTGGCAATAAATTGGTGTAATTAACACAAAAATGAAAAAAAAAAGAATGGAATGGAATTTTTTTTAGATTTAAAAAAATATTTCAATATTTAATTTTATTAATTTTTCTATGGTGTGAAAATCCACTGCTGGCAAAATACGCAATTCTAAATAACTACAGTTCTTGAAATTGTTTGAAGCAAAATACATGTAGATGAACATTAGACTTACCGCACATGTGAATTGTACGTTTGTGACAAACTTTACACCACCTTCTTGGTTTTGATGGATGATTCACAGGTAAATGGGCGAAATTATCGAATCAAACTTCTTCCAACATTCCCGGAATATTTCGCGCAATTGGTTTGATTTCAGTTTTATCAAGTGCCTCGTTATAAAAAATAAAAAGAAAATTTCGATTGCTGTTTTCAGTGTGCTGAGTGTTCGAGTGCTGAGTATATTCAATTTTTTCTTTTGTCCACTGTACCTGTCGTCTTAGACGTCGCGAGTTGTTTCTGGATTTAGATAATAGTCGCTGTTTGTTCTACCAAAAACTCTTTTTCTGATGAGTTAAAGGAATTGTACTTCTGTATTCTTCAAAAGTTCCTTTAATATTCTGGTCTCTTTAAGATTGGTCGATATCCTCTTATCGGTAATTTTATCTACTACAGGAGAAATGTATACTGCATCAATTACATCTATAAGAAAAATCAATTAACATAGAACTGTAACATAAATGTCATCAATAGGTGATATATAGAAAAAAATATATTTACCGTTCACATTGTTTTGAATTTCGTTGACAGCTTTTTCCGAAGCATCTTCCAATTTTTGCTGGTGTAAGAATCTTTTGAAACCCATAGTCACTAATTAAAACTTGGTGATACATCACTTCAAACTAACTAACCTGCTTTTAAAAGTGGAAATTCACAACTGCCGGATTATTTATCTAATTATTTCGAGAATGTAGGTTGAATAAATTCAGAAAAACTGGGTACTAAAATTTCCCGACAAACTCTAGCGGATTTATTTAGATAAAGGTTTAGAAAAATCCCGCATAAAATCATTTCCATTAGTAAGTCACTGTACAATGAGGCGAAATGCAGATTTGAGATACTTACTGGAGTCAGACAGGGATGTGTGCTTTCTCCGTTTCCTTTTAACATAGCAGTAGACTATGTTTTCTTCACACTACACGGATACAAGAGGGATACAATGGACGTTAACCACACGCCTAAGCGATCTGGAATACGCGGAGATATCTGCCTGTTAGGACAAAGGTTCCAAGATATGCTGATCAATTGGAAACACTTTTCACTGAAGCCAATAAAGCAGGTTTTAAAATCAATATTAGTAAAACCAAATCCATGAGAGTAAATGCAAGAAACAATACTATCAACAACATGCAGATTGAAAATGTGGAAAACTTTACTTGTCTTGGAAGTGTCATTACAGAAAGCGGAGTTACTGAGATGTGAAACCTGGAAAGTGACATAAACCCTTACAGATAAACTGCAGGTCTTTATTAATAAATTTCTACGACGAATTGTTCGTATTTTTTGGCCTAACATCAACAGAAACGAAGATCTACTACACCTGACTGAACAAAAAAGGGTAGAACATCAAATAAAGTCCAGAAAGTGGGGTTGGATTGGTCACACACGTAGAAAAAATAATTCCAATATTGCAAAGATTGCTTTACAGTGAAATCCCCAAGGAAGAAGAAAAAGAGGTCGTCCAATACAAACTTGAAGAAGATCCATCATTGACGAGATAAGAGGTCAAGGAATGTCTTGGAATGGGGTGAAGACCTTAGAGCAAAATAGAACCCGATGGCGCGTTTTTACTGAAGCTCTATGCTCCACTTAGGAGTTCAAGAACCTTATATTAGAAATATTTATTTGTTTATACCTTGACAAAAGATTCTTCCTCGGGTTGATTGTAAATTCCACGAAAATATTTATCTAAAATTTTAGAACCACTTAGGGCCGGTTCTACATTCCAGGTATAAATTGGAGAATAGTTATTCTGAGTATAACTTATACTTGAGTTTATTCCAAGTATAACCTTTCGAGCGTTCTACATTGTGAAATCGACAGCGGATTAGTTATTCTGGGTATAACCACAGAACACTAAGGTAAAACGAAATAGTAGATCTGATGTCTTCAAAATTAGTTCAAATTGTTATTGACAGCGACATTTGGCATTTGTCATAACTGTAAAATTTGTTTACAATTGAAAGGAATTGAATAATTGATTCGCTTTATCTGGTATTTATCTACGTTTATATTATTATACTTTTCAAAATTAATATAAAATGGATAAAAAAGATGTAAAATTTCCTTCTTAAATTTTTTGTTATCATCAACTGAGATTAGTGTATACTCCACATTTTAAAAAAGTATAAATATTGGATTACAAAATAATTTTAGTTAAAGAAATGTTTATATAATACAGATTCTAGAATTACAGTCTCTGTTATCAAAAACATTAAAAAAATATATTGCCTTGGTAAGATTATACCTATACTAGGTATACTAGTCATATGTGTAGACGTTATTACATTACATACATATCCTAAAATTTTAGAATTGAAATAATAAATGGTTTCTTGTTCCTTTGGATTGCCTAATAAAATTTCCTTTGGATTTACAATCTAAAATGTTTGTGCAATATCAAAAATTTTATTTTATATACATACATATATAAAAACAAACAAAGTGACGTTAAAATATTACAGATTTGACAACCCCTGACCGACCAATAGAAATGCAGTATAAATTTATACTCGGTTATATCTGCTAAACTTTGGAGGGATAAAGTTATTCTACAGATATACTCCGATTATCTTATTCCTAGTTTATTCTTTGTTTGTAGAACACCATTAATGAAGTTATTCCAAGTATAACTTTATTCTCAGTATATACTAGCATTGTAGAACCGGCCCTTAGGATTATAACTGAGTCTGTAATGGAACAAAAACCAGATTAAAATTATTATTTTCGGAAACGAAAGTATTTAGACCTCCGGTAAACCAGGTAAACTTTGGCAATCACATACATGGTTCTTCCCAGTGGTGCAAAAACGCACCAGTTGATTTAAATCGTAATTAGAGGAAAGCCAAAGTTATTTAAAAAGCATTGTGTAACTATACATAATGTGTCATTATTTTAGATTATGATTTTCACAAAATAGTAAAGTATAATATGCTCATTTCTCTGTATTTCTTCTTGAAACAACTGTGAAATTTTTCTAGAAAATAACTAAATTTTTGTTATGTTCATTAATGCTTTTTTATTGTTAGAAGAAGACGAGAAACCAAAAATGGTGTCAAAATGTAATATTTATACTTAAGATCTGTGTTTGTAGATGTAGAATAATTCTATACTTTCGAATTGTTTTTAGAGCCTGCTGTGGAGCCCCTTCTGAGAAAATACCTTACTTCAATAGTATCTAATTTCTCTTTTCTTCGTTGCACCGTACCGAATGGAGGCTGAGAATTCGCCACATTGTTTTGTATTCTTTTATATTCTTATTGATCGAATATATATTCAGTTCTTGTCTCAGAAATTTCATTTTGCCAGCTTGGATTTTAGAGTCATGTCTACTTCACTACACAACTAACTCATGTTCAATCAACAAATCATCAGATAGGCCGAACCACAGATGGCTCATACGATGAGACTTGTGCTGCGACTACTGCACTTCTCTATCGTGAAATGTAACACCATAATGCCTAGGGTATGCATGGTGTAGGGCAGGGGTCACCAACTGGCGGACCGCGGTCCGCATCCGGACCGTGAGCTTGTTTTTTGCGGACCGCCGTTAA